GATCTCCAAAATTTGTCCAAGAATTGCGGCAAGCTCAAAATCTTTCTTCGGTTGCTCTTTGCTTCTGTAGTTTTTATCCTTCAAATATTAATGAGAACATTGAAAATGCGAATATGAATCAAGCTCCGTCGTATGATTTTTCTTATTGAAATGATAAGAAATGTTACTAAAATTCACTAGAATCGCGAATCGCCCCAAATATCTTATCCACCCCTTGAATATATCTCAAAAAACTAGTAAGACAAGAATCGTATAAGTCGAATGTTCATCACACGCCTTTTTAGAAGGATCTTAGCTCAAGACCTAGTCCCTAAAGTTTCTAGTTTCTGGATCTCTATAAATCAAATGCGGTACCATGACCTCTATAGTAGCTCCTTAATCTTAACTGCATATTTAGTGCCATGAAAAAAGCATAGACGGAAGAAGGACAAAAATTTCCGAGCTTTGCTTTTAAATGAAGCTAGAAAAGAGGGCCAAAAGAAAAAGAGAATAGGAAAGAACATTAATTTGCGTAAAAGTACAATGTCAGTCAAGAAATACCTTTGCATAGAGAGGTATTTCTTGAATATCATCCAATAACCTGCCTTCACTTAGAATAAATGAAGACTATCGTCCAATTATTTGCCTTCTAATATATCTAGAGTGTTGAAAAGGAACATAATAAAGAGGCTTTTGGCTAAAAAACTAAAAGAGGAAATGAAAAATGAACAACATCTCCAAGCAGGATTAAATATCACTGTAGAAACGATATTTGAACAATGAAAGAGAATGCCGAGTTGGAAAGCTCCTGGAAAAGACAAAGTGCAGGGCTACTGGATTAAAAGTCTTACCAACCTTCACGAGAAAATTGCTGAACATCTCAATAAGGTCCTGCTTAGAGAAGATGAGTGGATTACTTGCCTGCATGGATGACCTATGGTCGGACGGTTTTATGCCAAAAACAGCCTTCAAAAAGATATGCATCTGGACCAAATTATTGCGTCTACCGTGCTCGTTTATAGCAACTTTTGGACAAGAGTTGTCACTTGTCACGTGAGGCCTGATTAATATTAAAAAACAAACCAAGACGATCAAAGCCAGCTTCCATCAAATCTGTTTTGTTAAAGAAGTCGTAAATTTTTATAGATTTCTCCATGGGCTGTTCTCTAGCACCACAAATAATTTTTAAAGCCTTCTCAACTCTTTCTTCTGACGACATCGCTCGATGAGTCGTATATCGTAACCTGGCAAAGTTGGCAGGGGCGATTTTCTTTCGTCCTCATCTAAGAACAAACGTGAGATATCTGAAAAGCCGTAAGGTTGAGTGGCAGGCAGCGCAGAAAAAGATTTTTCTTCCTGGCAGCAAAATCAAAATTACAAATTTCCTGCAAAACTTTGACAAAATTTTCTGCAACTGCAAGTAATATCTCAAGTGTTTTAAAATTCTTTTAAATTCAGTATTCATGTTAAAATCACGCTAAAGGTTTCTTGCCAGAAAAAAACCAACTCCTGCAAGACGCTGCCGGACATTTTCAAACCCTGACTGGCAGACAACTGGAGTATAAATGTCAATCGAGCTAGAACTTGGAAGCATTTTATAACTGAATCGGAAGACCCGAGACAAAATGTAGGGAAGCAATCGAAAGATCAGTGTCTTTTGCAAAAGTTCTCATCCAAGCTATTTTGAAGGTGACTGAATGATTTATTTTAAAAAATTCCTTCTGGATGTCATATGATGACCGAGCAAATTGACGAAAGAAGAAGCTTGAACGATTTTTAGACTTTGCCTGCCACATAGAGACTCTTTTCCATTGAATCGAATTCTGATCAATTGTTTTTAAGTATTTTCAAAAGTAACCTAAATCAAAAAAAGAGGTACAAAAAATTCAACATTAAGCAAGTACTTGCTCACGAAATGGAAAGTTTAGAAACCTAAAGCGTGAACATCCAAGGCGTGAACGTATTGGCTAAAAGTTAATTGACTGATCGCTTAAGTCACGACTTTTTGAGACATGCCTCTGATCTATTTGAAAGGACAAAATAGGCTGGCACCAGCTGCTGCCCCTAACTGTTTTAGATCAAGTTAAGATGATTAAACCAAGTTAAGGTTGTCTTGCATAGCTTCTTGGGCGCCATTAATGAAGCCGATGCATTTAATGTATATAGAGTTTTAAAATGATGCCGTCACAAGAATATATTTATAAAATTTTTGAATTTGGATAATACTACCTGATATAGCATCATGTGGGATACCTCTAAATGGGGTATCAGTCATATGTGCTTTGCTATGACCATATAAGCACAGACTATTTCCCCCTCCAATCATTTAAGTCTTTCTTCAATTGCCTATATCCAATTTTTTGACATATTTGACTGGTTTTCGAAATTCATAAGTTCTTTGTAGTGTTCTTCTAGGTAATGTGGTCAAAGGTCAAATATTCTGAAGAAGATTATGACGCCACAATTGAGAACTATCTACTAATACCTGCCGACCGGTGAGTTTGAGGCGTAACGTTTTCATCATTACTTCTTTCTATTATTGCTCTGCTCGGCAAATCGTCCGGTGCGTAGTTCAGTTGCGTCTTTCATTCGACCTTCATCTTTTTCCAAACTCATTAGCTATTTCCTTGCCTTGAGCTTTGATACTTCTACTACCATAAATGTGAGTTATTTGATACTGAAAACGATTATCGTAAATAGGGAGTGTCATAGGCCACGTCATTTCTGCCACCAGAAAACGCCCTTTTTCCAACAAGGACGCCCATTCAGCCTTAAGGGAACGCCCATGACTAACTTTTGGCTACGTAAAGCAGTTTTACAATGATAGGATTTCATTACAAAAAGTACGTTGCCAAAATTTTTCCCCTCCCCCAACATTTTCTCATCGAATTTAGACGTAATACAAAATTGATCCTGCCGAGAACTGGAGCACAGAATAGAAATGACTATTCTATTCTGTGACTGGAGGGCGTGTCCTCCCAGTCTCCTCCGTGGCGCAGGTACTGGGAACAAGTCAAATATAATCTTAAGTGACGTTATGGGTAGGTGTCTACCGCGGGCACATTCAAAATGGTACCGTTTGCTAGAATCATTTTAAGATAATGATACCATACCAATGGCTAGATCAATTTTTCAAAAAGGATGCTTGCAGCACATCTCCGGGTACCATAACTGTTGAAGACGCCCCGCCCCCTGTTGTTTCAACATTTTGACTCATTATTTGGGTTTGCGAAAGTGAAATCAACAGGCGAAGGAGAAACGGAGGTAAATATTTCTCTAAGTAAGTTATTTTAGATTTTATGAGTCTCTTCTGATCGTGCCACCAGGTTGCCACCGAAAGGCATCTATTCTTATGAAACAATGGGCACCAAACATCAAACCGCAAAGTTTCAAACCTGCACATTTGATAACAACCTGGATGAAGCGTCTTTTTAAAACGGTTACCTTTAAAACCAGAATACGGAATCCGGAATCCTATTTTTATGCTGATCAAATGAAATTTTATCAGAGTTAATTTCACGAGTGACGTAATAGAACTTGATTTCGCTAGGGGTTCTAATTTTAGCTTATTTGTATTACTCTCATTTGGTTGTCAATTGTCATGCTTCAATTTGGTATTTAAGTCTTTATGCGCTTCTTTGATGCCTTCGGGAATAATAGAGATTGAAGGAGTTTTATAGTTTGAGCTTCTGCGCGAAAGTGTGGGTTCCTTGACTCAGATGGGTGTATTAAATTGCTTTAGGTCGGAATTATCGTGTTTACTTTTCTCTTTTCCCGTCCCTCCCTCCCCTTTTGATCTCAAGCGCAGAGTGTTTCTTCTAATACTTATTTATTCATGGTTTCAAAGTTCTTGTTATTTTTTCGTTTAGGAAAGACAAGGCTCTTAATTCAGGTTGGGAAAAGTGAACTTTTTTTGTCCATTTCCTACCCAGAACTTTAAGCTGCTTGTACTTGAGTCTATTAAGCTATATGTTAGCATTTTGTATGGGTTAGGTGAAGCAACTTGTGCCGATGCGCTAACGGCCCAGAATTCGGCTTATTCTATTCGACGCAACGAAACGAAACGAAACGAAACGAAACGAAACGAGACGAGACGAGACGAAACGAAAAGAAATATGATATTTAACGAAACGAGACGAGACGAGACGAGACGAGACGAGACGAGACGAGACGAGACGAGACGAGACGAAACGAAACGAAAAGAAAAGAAAAGAAATATGATATTTAACGAAACGAAACGAAACGAAACGAAACGAAACGAAAAGAAAAGAAAAGAAAAGAAAAGTGATATTTAACAAAACGAGACAAACGAAACGAAACGAAACGAAACGAAACGAAAAGAAAAGAAAAGTGATATTTAACGAAACGAGACGAGACGAGACGAAAAGAAAAGAAAAGATAAGAAAGGTGATATTTAATGAAACGAAACGAAACGAATCGAAACGAAAAGAAAAGAAAAGAAAAGAAATGTGATATTTAACAAAACGAGACGAAACGAAAAGAAAAGAAAAGAAATGTGATATTTAATGAAACGAAACGAAACGAAACGAAACGAAACGAAAAGAAAAGAAAAGAAAAGAAAAGAAAAGAAAAGAAAAGAAAAGAAAAGAAAAGAAAAGAAAAGAAAAGAAAAGAAAAGAAAAGTGATATTTAATGAAGCGAAACGAAAAGAAAAGAAAAGAAAAGAAATAAAAAGAAAAGAAATGTGATATTTAACGAAACGAAACGAAACGAAACGAAACGAAACGAAACGAAACGAAACGAAACGAAACGAAAAGAAAAGAAAAGAAATGTGATATTTAACGAAACGAAACGAAACGAAACGAAATGGAAAGAAAAGAAAGAAAAGAAAAGAAAAAAAAAAGAAATGTGATATTTAACGAAACGAAACGAAACGAAACGAAACGAATGGAAACGAAACGAAAAGAAAAGAAAAGAAAAGAAATGTGATATTTAATTAAACGAAACGAAAAGAAAAGAAAAGAAAAGAAAAGAAAAGAAAAGAAAAGAAAAGAAAAGAAAAGAAAAGAAAAGAAGTGATATTTAACGAATCGAAACGAAACGAGCTCCATATCTCAAAAACTTGTCTTACCAACCTTCACGAGAGAATTGCTGAACATCTCAATAAGGTCCTGCTTAGAGAGGATGAGTGGACTATTTGCCTGCATGGATGACCTATGGTCGGACGGTTTTATGCCAAAAAGACCCTTGAAAAGGAAATACAGTGGACAATTATCGTCCAATTACTTCCCTTCCATCAATGTGGAATACCTTGAAAGAGAGTGTTGTGAAGTCAATATATATTTCGCAGCCCAAGCCATCATGGGGGATTCCTACTCGTCCCAGTCTTCTTACGTTATATATTCACGCCCTATATTGTAAGGTTAAGTTGTTTGAAGTAGTGAAGTTACGATAAAGTCACGCTACAAATTCATGATGGGCTAACAAGTTACGTTTACGTTATAGTTGTATATAGTCACGTTTTGTATATATTTGAAGATAAAATCAACGATATGGAGTTTCATTCACGTCTACGCTCTACCGAAGCTATGTTCAAGGAATAATGTCACCCAACGCGGGGCACGGAATACGACGAAATCATGGCCACTGATACAGAAGGTAACAGTGGACAATTAAAGAAATTGTTAGCAATACGAGGAGGAAATAGAACCTCCATTACGAAGCTTGAACGACAAGCCACGGCTCTTCTTGAAGAATTAATTAATGAAAATGGAGAACAAGTCGAGAAGGTGATTCGTTTAGAAACGATACAAAAGTCTCTTCGAGAAAAGCAAACGTATGTGAACGGACCAAACGAAAAGATACTGGAATTATGTCCAGAAGTTAACATTGAAAAAGAAATCGATGAAACGACGGAGCTGAATTTCAGAATCGATGAAATTCTGGGAAGAATTCAAGCTTTTAAAGACGGTCGATACGCTCAGACCAATGCATTCGGAGTTGGGAGTGGAACGAAACATGTTATTACGACAACGCCTTCCAGAGAAGCTGAAAACGTTGAACAAGCAACAAACAACGAACATGGTCTCAATACAAGCGGGGTTACCATGGGTTCTGTTGCCATTCGTCTGCCAAAAATAACGCTTCCACGATTTAACGGAAATATTACACGTTTCATGTCCTTTTGGCAGAGTTTCGAGAATGCCATAGATAAAAACGAAAGCATAACTGCAGTTGATAAGCTCAACTACTTGGTGAATTTGTTGGAGGGTCCAGCATACCGTGCAGTATCAGGACTCGAACTGACGGAACAAAATTATTTAAATGCGGTGGAAATTTTAAAGGCGAGGTTTGGCAACAAACAACAAATAATCTCGACGCACATGCAGGCTCTCCTTGGGCTACAAAACTGCTCAAACGAAAACGTGAAGCAATTGCGCTTCATTTACGACAGCATAAATGTACACGTAAGGGGGCTTGAAGCCCTTGGTATGAGTTCTGCAAGTTATGGCAGTTTGTTAGTACCAATCCTTATGGCAAGAATGCCGCGAGAAATTACATTGCATGTCGCCAGAAAGACGACCGAGGAAGTTTGGCCGATAAAAGAAATATTGGAGATTGTCAGAAAGGAAATTGAAGGCAGGGAACTGAGCGATAACATCAAGCCCGTCGAAAAGAAATGTGACAAAACTTCAGGATATGGACCAAAATCACCACAAGGCACTACCAAGACATTTTCAACGAAAGATGAAAAAGTGCAAGATTGTGTTTATTGTGGGCATGCACACTCTCCGTCAAGCTGCAAAGAAGTCCAGGAAATAACGGGTAGAAAAAAGATCCTATTGGAGACCAAACGATGTTTTTCCTGCTTGAAATCTGGACACATGACAAAAAAGTGTCGGGAAAATCGAAATTGCAGAAAATGTGGCAGAAATTTTCACCACGAGTCAATTTGCTACAAAGGAGCAAAACAAACGGAGGAAGAAACAAAAGTAACTACCAGTGTTACAAGAAAACAAGAAGTTTTGCTGCAGACGGCCACTGCGTATGTTTATGGGGCAGACAAGGCTCAGAGGATGAAAATCAATGTTTTCTTCGATAGTGGGAGCCAACGAAACTACATCTCTGAAAAGTCAGACGAAAACTGAATCTGGAAGTCGAAAGACAGGAAAACTTAAATTTGAACACATTTGGAACTGAGAAATCAGTACGCAAGAAATGTGACGTCGTAAAGTTAAAGTTAGATACAGGAATAGATGAGACGCCAATTTTGATAAGCGCCATAGGCTATCAGTCTATTTGTTCGCCTATAAATACGCGCATAGACGTAAGCAAGTATCAGCATTTGATAGGCCTTAATCTAGCGGACAAGAAGCTAAGCGAGCAAAATAGGCGCATTGATTTGCTTATTGGTAATGATTATTTGTATGATGTAATCATTGGTGATGTTATTAGAGGTACATCAGGGCCAATAGCAGTAAGTAGCAAATTAGGATGGCTACTTTCGGGAAAAGTACCAGGATCCTTGGAGCCTAAAACCTATTCTAAAGTGACTTCTAATTTGATTTTAGATACGTCAGTTGGAAGGCCTATCGAAGAAAATGAGGAAATAACACAAACGCTTCGCGAGTTTTGGAAACAAGAATCATCCGGGATTGACAAGGGGAGTGAACCCACAAATGAAAACAAACAAGACGAGCAATTTGAAATCACCTTTAATGGTAAAAGGTACCAGGTAAGCCTTCCTTGGAAGGTTGATATATCTTGCCTTAATGATGATTATAACTTGGCATTAAATCGCTTAAAATCTTTGCGTTGCCGGTTAAAAGGAAACCCTGAATTATTATCTGAATATGATAACATTTTCAAAGAGCAATTAAACAACGAAATAATTGAGCAAGTCCCTGTGGAGGAGGAGAATCAGGGTAATCCTCATTTTATGAGTCACCATGGTGTAATTCGACGAGATCGTGAAACAACAAAACTTCGTGTTGTTTTTGATGGAAGTGCGAAATCGCACAAGGAAGCTTTATCTCTTAATGAATGTTTAAAACTTGGTGATAATTACATGCCGCCATTATTCGATACGTTATTACGTTTCCGCTCACATGCCATTGCTATAACAGCTGATATTCAAAAAAAAAAAAAAAGAAATTGATGAAAAAGACCGGGATGCTTTACGTTTTTTGTGGTATGACGACATTAGTAAGCCGAATCCAACGGTTATTCAGTATAAGTATTGTAGACTGGTGTTTGGTTTAAGACCATCGCCATCTATACTGGGAGCCACAATTAAGAAACACATTGCTCAATATGCTAATCGATTTCCTCGTGTTGTAAAAGTGTTAGATCGGCTTTATGCTGATGACTTATCATGTAGACAAAAAAAAAATTGATGAGGCCTTAGAGATTTTCCATAAGTCACGGGAGATTTTGTCCGAAGGTGGGTTTAACCTTCGCAAATTTAAAACTAATGACACAGCTTTGTTACATGAAATCAAAAAGGTGGAAACAGGTAACGTATCCAATGGTGATAATGCGAAGGAGATCATACAAGATGATCAATCCTTCGCTCAGCAAACAATAGGCCCACCTCAAAGGGAAAATAATAACAAGGTCCTTGGAGTAAATTGGGAAAGTAAAAAGGATGAACTGTTTTTTGATCTGGGGTCCATTATAGAACTAGCAAAAACACTTAAGCCCACAAAACGCTCTCTTTTAAAGTTAGCAGCCAAGATTTTTGACCCGATCGGTTGTCTTAGTGTGTATACCATCAATTTGAAAGTGCTCTTTCAGGAACTTTGCGTAGACAAATGGGGGTGGGATGAAGAGCTTACAGGAGAAGCAAAGGAAAAATATGATCGTTTCATTTCGGAAATAAGTCGTTTAGACGGGATTCGCATGCCAAGATCTTCTATTGACCCAGGTAAAATAGTAAGCCAAGTCGAAATACATGGGTTTTCAGATGCCAGCGAGACTGCTTACGCTGGAATTGTTTATCTCTGCATTGTGTACGATACGGGGGAGGTAAGCATCAAGTTTGTCACTGCCAAGGCCAGGGTTTGTACTCTAACAAAACAAAGCATTCCACGTTTA